CACACACACACAGCACCCCCCCACACACACAGCACCCCTCAAATACAACACTCACCCCCCACCTCAATGCAGTATGTGTGTATTCAGCAGTGTGTGTGTGCGTGTATTCAGCAGTCTGTGTGCGTGTATTCAGCAGTCTGTGTGTACTCAGCAGTCTGTGTGTGTGTACTCAGCTGTCTGTGTGTGTATTCAGCAGTCTGTGTGTGTGTGTATTCAGCAGTGTGTGTGTGTACTCAGCAGTCTGTGTTTGTGTGTGTACTCAGCAGTCTGTGTGTGTGTGTGTACTCAGCAATCTGTGTGTGTGTGTATTCATCAGTCTCTGTATTCAGCAGTCTTGTGTGTGTATTCAGCAGACTGTGTGTATGTATTCAGCAGTCTGTGTGTGTATGTATTGCATTTGTTGGAGATACTAATAAATATAAGCTTAATTTTATCTATTTATATCATTATTTAAAATTTGTATCATTGAACTCTCTGTGTTCTTTTAAAACAAAAGTTATTAGTTCGGACAACAGTACGAGTTGTTTTTTCTAAACTTAAACCTCAGTATTTGGGTTTAATTGCCGTGTTGGCACTTTAAGGAGAAAAAATGTTGGCATGTATTGTGGTTTGGGCACTCGGGCTCAAAAAGGTTCGCCATCACTGAGATAGACTGTCATCACTTCCTCCCTGCCGGCTGATATCACAAGGGCCTGGCTCTTAAAGGGCCATCAAACCATGGGGCCCCTGTTTAATGAGTTGTATGGGGATATTAGGGGGCGCAAATCATACACAAGATAATGGAAATCACACACATTAGATTGTGTGTGTGATTTCTGGCATATTGTGTATGAGCGAGCAGAGAGTAGCAGAGCAGAGCGAACAGGGGAGCAGAACAAGTAAAGGGGAGCAGAGCACGCAGAGAGGAGCAAAGCATGCAATTAGAAACAGAGCATGCAGAGAGAAGGTAAAGAAGAGCAAGCAGAGAGGATGCAGAGCAATGCAAATAGAGAGGAGCAGAACAAGCAGAGAGGAGGCAAAGCAAAGCAAATCGAAAGGAGCACAGCAAGCATGGAGAAAGGAGCAGGTATTGTGGCCCCAGCCTGTGCCACATTTAGGTTCTGAGAAAAGTAAATTAATTGCACTGATTACAGCATGTGGTGTGAGTGTGACAAAGGTTACTTACTCCTGATTGCAGACAGTGAGTGTTATGACAGTAACACTTGCCCCTAAGATTGCAGACAGCAGTGTGACTGTGTCATCTTACTTACCAGTGATTGCAGACCGTTTGCAGTGCGGCCCCACATAAGGTGTAAAACCATAACTACCTGAGAGTGCAATTTGCAGAGGGACTGAGTGAGCGGAGCAGACACTCCAGACAGTGGCACTACTACTGTAAGTAACGTGAACTTTAATTGCAGCTTTTGAGTAAATGATATGTATGTACCCAGGATTCCATATTGTGAGCATGAGAATGAAACAGGTAATTTTAGTTTGTGTTGGTATAGTATTCACCAACTATAGGTCAGGGCACAAACTATAGTGCCAACCATTTTTAGCTGTTCATGGAAGTAGAGCTAAATCTGCTTTTCTTACAGGACAAGTTCATTTGAATTAGCCTTTCAAAATACAACTTTCTGTCATTTTAAAATGCTAAACTGTGAGTGTAGAGAATACACTGTTAAGTGACCATTGTCTATGTTTGTGAAATATTTATATAAAAGTGTTAATTTAAATTCCATTCAAATTGTATGTTATAAATTATTTTTAAAATAAACTTTTTTAAAAAACTATAGTTTTGTAACCATTCTGGCATCATGAGATATTGTTACAATGGCATATCTAAAGCAGATAGACTTTAGCATATTTAACAAGGTGCTGGAAATCTGAATTTTGTTAACTTTTTAATGTTCTGTGTGTGTGTGTGTGTGTATGTATGTATATATATATATATATATATATATATATATATAATACACACACGTTTTGTAATTGCCCCCCTACTTTTGTCCCTGGCCCTCCATGTGCTCTTCTAAATATAAATGCTGGAGATACCACTGCTTACAGACAAACTCACTGACACACACACACACACACACACACACATAAAAGCTCACTCACTAGCAGGCACACACACACACACACACAATCGCAATCACTGTCATGTGTTGAAGCCTACATGTCACAGAAGGCTGTGGGAGACTGAAAGCACTGAGATGTGAAGTCTTCATCTTCTTTCTGGCAAGGTCAGCAGTGTATGGAGAAGCTTTGTGGAGGCGGGTTTGCATGCAGGAGGGGGGGGCCTGAACATGGGGGCAGAGCATAGAGGCACTGAATAGCTGGAGATTTCGGGGGAGCCTCACAGTGCTCCTTCTGACCTGCAGGCAGTCTAAATGCTCCCCACCAGCCCCCAGCAACTCCCTCCTTCTTTAAATTGTTCAAAAGACACATCAGGTATCCTGGTGCCTGTGGGGAGGTGTTAAGTTGAAAAATCCAGGGGGGTGGGGCAGGGGCAAGTTCCCTACTAGCCCCTTCATTCGGACGCCCATGATACTATGTACCTTCCAGACGTGAAGTGGTGTGGAAATGTTAAGGCTTGGGTAGTAGTGTAAGACTTGAAATAATGTATAAAATACAGTTGTGCTCAATAGTTTGCACACCCTGGCTGAAATTGTGAAATGTTGGCATTGATTTTGGAAATATGACTGATCATGCAAAAACATTTTTTTATTGAAGGATAGTGATCATATGAAGCCATTTATTATCACATAATTGTTTGGCTCCTTTTTAAATCATAATGATAACAGAAATCATCCAAAATTGCCTTATCAAAAGTTTACATACTCTTCAATGTTTGGCCTTGTTACAGAAACACAAGGTGACACACACAAGTTAAAATGCCAATAAAAGGTTAATTTCCCACACCTATGGCTTTTTAAATTGCAATTTGTGTCTGTGTATAAATAGTCAATGAGTTTCTTAGCTCTCACTTGGATGCACTAAGCAGGCTAGATACTGAGCCATGGGGAGCAGAAGAGAACTGTCAAAAGACCTGCGTAACAAGGTAATGAAACTTTATAAACATGGAAAAGGATATAAAAAGATATCCAAAGCTTTGAAAATGCCAGTCAGTACAGTTCAATCGCTTATTAAGAAGTGGAAAATTCAGGGATCTCTTGATATCAAGCCATGGTCAGGTAGACCAAGAAAGATTTCAACTAATACAAAGATAATAAAAAGTAATACTTATCAATAATACAGAAAGAGCTTCCCACAGATCACTTCCCAAGTGGTGGTCTCAACAAGCCATAGAAATATACACAACACACGTGGGATTCAGCTGATTGGTCTAGAAAAAAAATCAATAAACAAGAACATATTGTAAAACAATTAATTATAAAAGACACACACTTGGGGGAATTGCTATTTGAAACTAACTGTACTTTCCCCTTAGTGAATGGATTCTCTCCACCAGAGCATAATAAGTGAATCTTCTCTCCATCTGTGATATTGGCTAGCTAACCCCTGGAGAACATCAGGGGGAGATCATCAATCACTCTCTCGGATCCACAGTGGAACGCACAGCCATCTTGGATTACAAGAACCATTGGAAAGCACGGAGATGCACGCTGGAACGCATGGAAGTGCGTTCCGGACGGCACTTTCGTTTTCTGCTGATCGGAAGAATTTGGATCAGCTGGGAGAAGGGCTGCTCGTTATGACAGATGAAGAAACAGATGACGTGGAGATCGGACCCTCCTATGGAATTAAGAAGAAAAGAAGACACCCATTGGAGCACCAATGAACTTGAGGGGCTAGCCCTATTTAAGGGGACTGAGGGGAGGGTGGGATTAGGCTGCTTTTTGGAGCATTATTACTGTTATTGCTTTTATTTACAATTTGGTCTCTGAAGAAGTCCCAATGTTGGGACGAAATATGTAAGACCAATATTTAATAATTATTCTTACTTGAACAAAATCACTTTTTTACGATTTATCTACCTATTGGAGTACTGTCTGGTTCCTGATTTATGGTGATACTACAATCTGGAGAAGGGATATTTGCCCCCTCCCCTATCCACTTCGGGGGAGGCACCTTTGTAGTGCATATTATTCAAAAATCTTGTGAGTTCACTCTATACCAGTGTGTGTCTTTTATAATTAATTGTTTTACACTATGTTCTGTTTATTGATTTGTTTTTTTCTAGACCAATCAGCTGAATCCCACGTGTGCTGTGTGTGTGTGTGTGTGTGTGTGTATATCCAAGAAAGATTTCAGCCACAACTGCAAAATTGTTTGGAATACAACGAAAAACCCACAGGTAACCTCAGGAGAAATACAGGTTGCTCTGGATGGCTCCTACCACCTACCTTCCCCAAGCTTCAAACACTTAGTTAACCACATTGCTTGAACTTGTGGAGTTGCTCTCCTAACACATTATGTTCACTTAATTTTCATGGTATACTCATTTTTTTAAATTGTATTTTAGTTATTGCCATGTCTCTTCCAGGATTCTATATAGCTAGACGACTACCCTTACAGTTCTAACATGACTGTTGTATGCTACATAATAAAATTAGAAACCTACAGTCAGTACGGTCTGATTGTGGAATAAATAAAGACTATAAAAATGTAATGTACGGTGAATATTGAAAAGTTCAATTATCTATCAGTTCTCTATGTGCCAGTGTACTTCATAATTAAATTATTTGGCTAGAGAAAAATGTAGTAAGCCCTCCCAATTACAGGATGAGTTCATTTTGATTTGAATAACCTTTAATGAATTTACTTTGATGCAGATTTGTGTTGTTATTCATTTGTTTTAGTGTAAAGATGAAAGAGGTCCATGATGTCCCAAACGATGGTCTCCTTGGTAACTTAAGTAATGAAGCTTTGACCATACAGCTGCAGCGCTTATGTTCCCTTTCACATTGAAATGTGGGTGGTCTCCACAGCAAGTAGGGTCTTTTCCTAGAGTTAAAGGCAACATTCAACAGTGGAACCCACGAGAAAGTGTTAACGTATATCCAGGTAATGTAGTGAAATAAGATACATGTCAATGCATTGCTAGTGCATAGATGTTGAGCATGTGTCAGCTAACATAGCTTTCCTTAATTCATAAATCATATCGTGATTTTTTTAATTTTTTTTTATCAATATGCAATTATATTATTAGCGTGCATCAATACCTATTCTTATATAATTTCCTGCGTCATGTCTAAATAGCTCTTTAGTTCTAACTAGACAGATTTGCAATCTACAGGAACAGTTGAGAAAATCAACTGCAGTCTTTCCCTTTTAAAAAGAGCTTTTTTTATATGCAGAGAATGGACCATATTATGATATTTGAAGGCATCTGAATAAATTTGTGGTATTTTTCCCATCTGAATCTCTGGGGATACTGCGGCAGGATGGTTATCAAAGAGGTAAGTGAAAAGACTTTACAAACAACTATTCCTTACATCAAATGGCATTTTTTCAAATTTATCTTTTTTTTTTATTATTATAAAAACTACATATTCGTTTCTGAAACGTTTTATTAAAATGTATATCTTCCCTTTTTGTTGTCCTTCACTTTCCTTCTATCCTGTCATTTAAAAAAAAATCTTTTATTTCCTTGCGGCTCTTCATTAGTCTTTTTTTTATACTATATATATTTTTTCTTACATTAATTTGCAATTCATACCAAAATTTGTAGAAGGAATATTTGGATCCCATCACTTTGGAGTGTCTCCAAAATGTAAATATTTTATCAAATAAAATTAGATATAGAACTCTGAAAAAGTGTATTTTTATTGTTAGATAATGAGTACATACATAGTTTTCTACTAATCTCAGTAGTTGGTGAGAATATTTTGAACTCTCTGAGCATCAAGTCTGATAAACATTTACCTTCAGAAAGGATTTTGCCCCAAATATAGCCAAATAACTAACTCTACATTGGTAATTTGTTAAATTAAAGAGACACTATCGTCACCACAACAACTTTAGCTTAATGAAGCAGTTTTAGTGTATACATCATGCACCTGCAGTGTCACTTCTCAGTCCTCTGCCATTTCGGAATTAAATCTCTTTGTTTATGCAGCCCTAGTTGCATGTGACTTATGCCGCCTTCCTAAACACTTCCTGTAAAGAGAGATCTAATGTTTACACTTTCCTTATTGCAAATTCTGTCTAATTTAGAATTTCGTATCTACTGCTCTGTTCATATCTTGCTAGACCGTGCAGAGACCTCCTGTCTGTAATTAAAGTTCTATTTACAGAGCAGGAGATAAAACATTTTAAAGTAAGTTGCATCTGATTGAAAATTAACACCTTTTGTTGACTTTAGCGTCCCTTTTAAAGAACCACGATAAGCACCCAGACCACTTCAGCTCAATGAAGTGGTCTGGGTGCCAGATCGCTCTAGTTTTAACCCTGCAGCTGAAAATGTAGCAGTTTCAGAGAAACTGCTATGTTTCACTGAGGGTTAATCTCACTGACAGCCGCTAGAGGCGCTTCCGCGATGCTCACTGTGAAAATCAGTGAGAAGAAGCTGGATGTCCATAGGAAAGCACTGAGTAATGCTTTCCTATGGTCGGTTTGAATGCGCCGCGCATGCTCATTCGGAGCTGAAGTCGGCAGAGGGAGGAGAGTTCCCCAGCGCAGAGGGAGCCTGTTGCTGGAGAAAGGTAAGTGGCTGAAGGGGTTTTAACCCCTTCAGCCCAGCGGGAGAGGGGCCCTGAGGGTGGGGGGGGACCTAATGACCCTATAGTGCCAGGAAGACGAGTTTGTTTTCCTGGCACTATAGTGGTCCTTTAATATACTTTATTTTTTTAACTAGTATCTACAATTTCCTCTGGTATGATATGAAAAATTGGTATTTGGTCTAAAATCTGTTTATCCTGTTGGGTTTTAAAGTGCTAATAAGGGAAAATTTCTGAATTTATATTAAAATGTGAAAAAAACTAAAGACAGACTGTTATCAGTTCCCAGAATAATAAAAATCTGTTTTACACCAGCGTAATATATGCTATTGGACATACAAGATGTAAAGATAATTTATTATAGAAAATATGTTTCCTCATTTTATATAATTGTAGAAAAGAGCTTTCAACATCATAATACCATTAATTTAAACATCTGTTACGTAGAATTTATACTAGTGCAGCTATTCTCCCAATTTTTGTTTCAGGAACTGAGGAGACGTCGTTTCTGGCGTTCAGTGTTGGCAGAGACTTTAGGAACGTTTATGCTGGTTTCTGTTGTATTAGGAGCCTCTTGTTTGGGAACACAACAAACACATTCCTTGGCCCCAGCACTAGCAGCTGGGCTATCAGTTGTGAGCTTGGTGCAGTGTTTTGGAGAGATCAGCGGCGCTCAATTTAATCCAGCCATAACATCTGCTCTAGTGTGTGCCCGGAAATTAGACCTACTCCATGGATTAGCTTTTGCTGTAGCTCAATGTCTTGGTGCTTTGTGTTCGTCTGCTATTTTCTATGTATGTGTTCCAACATATATGAGCAATCAGTTTGTCACAAGAGTAAGTATTACATTACTCAGTATAAATTACCTAGACCCCTCAAATTTTGCAATAAAATTCTTAACCTGTTTAGCCCTAAACTTCACTTATCTCATATTTCAAAATGATGTTTAATAACTGAATTATGACCACATCACAAATGTGTTTTCTGTCACTGTTTCTCAATGTGTATTTAATGTAAATAAATTCAAGGTTATGCACTTTGGGATAGAGAATTGAAGCAATTTACAAACCAAACGTTAATGGATTAGGGATAACAACACACAAGAAGGTATTGTCATGTATAAAAAGGGGCATTCTCGGGCTGAAAATATAATTTTGCCGCTTTATAAATCAATTGTAAGACAACACCTTGAATATGCTGTGCAATTTTGGCATCTGTTCTATCGAAGGATGCTATAAAAAGTTTTAGAGGCAGGCTACAAAATTAATAGAAGGAATTAAACATTTTAGTTATGAAGAAAGGTAAAAAAATTGAAATCTGTTTAGTTTAGAAAAATAGCGCCACAGCAGGGATATGATAGCATTATACAAATATATTTGGGGCCCATACAAACCATTGTCTAGAAATCTATTCACAAACAGGACTATTTATAGGACACAAGATCACACATTTAGAATGGAAGAAAGGAGATTTAGTCTAAGGCAAAGGAAAGGGTTTTCTATGGTAAGAATAATAAGGATGTGCTTATAAAAGTGCCTAAAATTTTATTTTTATTAGAGTCTGTACAGACAGCAGCTGGGTGAATACTTGCAAAAACATAATATTCAGAGATATAATTTTTAATATGTGGGGTAATGGCTTTTGTGAACCTAGGAGAGATCTGACTGTCATTCTGGGTTTAAGGAGGGATTTTTCCTAGTTTGTTGTCAAATTGGAAAGCGCTTCAAACTGCATTTTTTTTGTCTTCTTTTGGATTAAACAGCAAAAACAGATATGAGAGAGACTGCATTTGATGGACCCATGTCTCTTTTCAGCTATGTAACTATGTATTTATATAAACATGTTCTCTTTCCCGATGCCTCTCCCACTCTATAGTGTGGGGTTTATTCATTAAGCAAAGTACAATTTAGATGGAAGTAAGTTTAGGCAAAAGCAACTAATGTGGAAAATGGCTAAGTTTCATAATTGTTTTTGTCCATTTAATTAATTTTCTCCAAAATGTTGCACTTCTATTTCCAGTTCTCTTCAGTTCCCATGTTAGTGAATAGACGCTTATGTATCTCAACTGATGTGTCTTTACCGACTCTTAGAATATTTAAATTCTTTGATGTAAAGTGGACCATAATTCTTATTGGATTTTTTATTAAATTTTGCTTAAACTCATTCACTACAGAGCACTGTTTGCTGAAAAAAATATTAGCATAATATTTACTGAAAGCATGGGATGTCTAGCAAACATATGAACATAAAAACAGCTATTTTATGTATAGACTGCTTTGCAGACAAACATAAAAAATAAAAGTATGTAAATTTACACCATTTTTATTTTTACTCCTTTTTATATTTGGGAAATTAACAGCTTTAGATAGCATTCGAAGCAAAAATGCATTTTGTTTTTTATACACATATACACTATTCACTGGTATGCTACCCGTGTATATGGTAATATCTGGCAATATAGTGGCTTCTGGTATATAAAAAGTATTCCTCTACAGGTTGGTAATCAAAACTAGAGTTTAAATGAGGCTTTACATATCGTACTGCAAAATATAAGAAAATACAAATATTTATACTTAATGTTGGTACTGAAAAGGTTCATGACAGTACATTGCAGACCTTTATAAATAATTCAGTGAAACTCTCTTAAGTCATTTTAATGGCCTGCTAGATTTTAAATGAAAAATGAAATATATATATATATATATATATATATATATATATATATCCAAAGCTCCTGCACTCCAACTTTAGCAAAATAAGTATCTGGTGCTCTGGTCACATAGTATACATATAGAAAGAAATACCGGCACTCCAGGATTTGATAAAAAAAATATGAAATCGTCTTTATTCTTATTGTTCCAAATGGTCAACATTTCAGCTCTTGTACAGAGCTTTCATTAGGACATACGTCGGTCCATCTTTTTTAAGGAGTCTTCAATAAAGCATTGAGTTTTAATCTTTAAAAGTCTGTGAGTATTGGTCATCCTTCTGCATTTTTAATGTACCGTATATACTCGAGTATAAGCCGACCCGAATATAAGCCGACGCCCCTAATTTTACCCCAAAAAACTGGGAAAACTTATTGACTTGAGTATAAGACTAGGGTGGGAAATGCAGCAGCTACTGGTAAATTTCTAAATAAAATTAGATCCTAAAAAAATTATATTAATTGAATATTTATTTACAGTGTGTGTATATGATGAATGCAGTGTGTGTGTATGAGTGCGCAGTGTGTGTATAAATGCAGTGTGTATATGAGTGCGCAGTGTGTGTGTATGAGTGCAGTGTATGTGTGTATGAATGCAGTGTATGTGTGTATGAATGCAGTGTATGTGTGTATGAGTGCAGTGTGTGTGTATGAATGCAGTGTGTGTGGTGCAGTGTGTGTGTATGAGTGCAGTGTGTGTGATGCAGTGTGTGTGTGTGTGTGTGATGCAGTGTGTGTTTGTGTTGCAGAGCCTTGGTGGGGGGTGGGCATTTTTATAAAAAAAAAATTATTATTATTTACATTTTTTTTTGTTATATTATTATTTTTTTAATAATTTTTTTATTATTATTTTTACTTTTTTTATTATTATTTATGTATTATTTTATTTAGTTTTTAGTTCATTTTTTTGTTATATTATTATTTTTTTATTATTATTTTTATTTTTATTATTATTTATATATTATAAATTTATTTATTTTGTTGTCCCCCCTCCCTGCTTGATACATGGCAGGGAGGGGGGCTCTCCTTCCCTGGTGGTCCAGTGGCATTGGCAGTTCAGTGGGGGGAGGAGGGGGGCTGGCAGAGCTGTTACTTACCTCTCCTGCAGCTCCTGTCAGCTCTCTCCTCCTCCGCGCCGGTCCGTGCAGCTCCTCTCTCAGCTCCCAGTGTAAGTCTCGCGAGAGCCGCACTATGACCCCGCGGCTCTCGCGAGACTTACACTGGGAGCTGACTGAGGTGCTGCACGAACCGGCGCGGAGGAGGAGAGAGCTGACAGGAGCTGCAGGAGAGGTAAGTAACAGCTCTGCTAGCCCCCAGTCTGTATTATGGCAATGTAAATTAATGTAAATTGCCATAATACAGACTGACTCGAGTATAAGCCGAGTTGGGGTTTTTCAGCACAAAAAATGTGCTGAAAAACTCGGCTTATACTCGATTATATACGGTATATATACACTACAGGTATGTGTGTGTGTGTATATATATACCCCTATAGTGTAGATTGGATTAGCCGTATTTGGCATTTCATGAATAAAAAATATCCGGTTATTGTTATTATTATCAGGATTTATATAGCACAAACATATATTTCACAGATATATATATATACCATATATATATTTGTCAAGTAATTGACATATAAAATGATATTGGCATAAAAAAAAAAAAGAGGTAAAGAAGGCCCTGCTCAAACAATCTTACAATCTATAAGGAAGGGATAAAAACAAACAATATAGGAGAGGGAAAACAACATATCCGATAACTCACATTGATCATTTTGTATCTTAGAATTGAGCTGATGCATTAACGCTTTATCTACGCAAACATGGATAAGACCAGAGATGTTCTGAGAGGAGTAAATATGTTGAGTATTGAAGATGCAAGTTTGCTGAATTTTAACTCTCCTAAAAGTTAAGGATTTGAGTACAGTTATTATTATTATTGCCATTTATATAGCGCCAACAGATTCAGTTGCGCTTTACAATATTATAAGCGGGTGGATTTAACTATAAATAGGACCATTACAAGAAAACGATAGGTTGAAGAGGACCCTGCTCAAACGAGCTTACAGTCTACAGTTCTGACACTAAACTAATTTTCTTCACAGGTGAACAGTGAAGGTAATGCTGCACAGGCTCTGGGCATGGAAATAATGTCCACATTCCAACTAGCATTCACCATCTTTGCAGTGGACGATCGCAAACGGAGAGATATTACAGAGCCAGGGAGTCTTGCCATTGGCTTCTCTCTCACTGCAGGTGCTACCGCGGCGGTAAGAAAAATATATTTACTAGAAGTTTATTACTAGAAACCATTTCCTGTGTGAAAGCAGTGGATAATAATGAAGTGAGTGAACTGTTTATTTTGTGGCACAATGTAAGACATTCAGTCAATATTTTCTCTGCATAGAGACAGAAACTGCACATACATAGTTGTTCCATAGTTTCATAGTTGCATAATATACAGTATGTCGAAAAACTCAAGTCTATTGAATTCAGTGTTTTGCATATCTGTATTACTGCTGTTAATCCAAAAGAATGTGTACTTAATATGAAGTAATTTCCAATTTTGCCACAAACTCCCCCAAAAAATCCTTATTGACACCAAAATGGCATAAAGAGTTCGCTATGGCTCAGATATACCACGTGTGTCAGAAACACCTTATTGGGGAAAAAGGATAAATAGGGGTAAATAAGTAAAACTAATTTACCCTAGTAAAATATTTGCATGTAGAATAGGACTCCTCCAGGTCCTCAATCATAGAAAATACATATACCAAAAAGCAGGTAACTACAAAGCAAAAATAAAGAGAAAATCATAGGGCAATATTGCCGTGTCTAAAATAATATTAAAATTGGTGAAATGCACACTCACAAACCCAAATTGATTGGAGGCGTATCAAATGCAGTGAAGAGTATCCTCGTATCAGAACTGCAGCATATAGGAGAGAAAATGAAGAAGTGATAGTGCAGAGTTTTTATAACAATATAAACCTTTAATAAATATTGCACTTAGAAGATAAAAGCAATAAATGGGCACATCACAACAGGGTAACTCGATGTAGGCAAACAGAAACTCCCTCAGAGATGATGTTGAGCTGATGGGGTCCTTTAAGCAGCACCAAATTACAAGGATAAAAATAACAATAACATAAAAGAAACGCAAAAAACTCTAGGACTGAAGCCCTACGCGTTTCATTAAAAAATCTGAACTTCCTCAGGAAAGTCACAATATATCTCCTAGTTCTCATCTAGTCCATGAATGTCCGTGGAGCATTTAAATACAAGCAGCAGTTCCCTCAGGTTGCTGTCAGCCTCTCTGCATGGAGCTTCTGTAGGTGTAGTGTGTTCTATCTTGATTTGTGTTCCACGCCTCATTTTCATGTGGGGATTTTCATCCGTTGATTGTGTGACGTCATCATAATGTTCAATTTATGCGTTCCACGTCTCTACGGCTCAGCCAGCTTTTACCCCACATATTAACTAATACATTTTTGAATATTCAGTTTTTCAAAAACATTTTTAAACATCTGTAGAGAACCTTTTAACAACAACATTTTTAGGCAGAGGATGCCACATGTTTTTAATTCTTACAGTATAGAACCCTATCCAACCCTTTGTTGTAGGCTTTCTTCAATTCTCAAGGTAAGACACCCAACATAAACATCTAGAGGACTGATGAAATGCTACAAGGAAATAGATAAAATGTAATAGCAGTGTATTATGGTCCTTGTGGATGACTTGGCTTAATGCAGAGCCAGAAAGGCAAAAATCACCAACGAGCTGGTAAATAAAAGAAACTGGCCAAAGTCGAAGGTCAAGCGGTACTCCAGCTTGATATCCTTTAGCTCTCTCTGGAAGAAATCCAGTAGATTGGATCTTAGCACTACTGAGTGCTTTTTGTACGTCTTCACATAAATCAATCTTATTTTACTGTTAAGTTTTCATTAAAATCACCTGGTTCATTAACGTGAAAAGCATCTAGAATAAACAAAAGTAATTCACGGGTTTCAGATAATTATAACTATCTATTGTTATTTATATTGTTATCATATTGTAGAATAAATAAAAACTGTTGTTTTCTAGACAGTTTTACAGTCCACTGAACTAGATACCATTAATGCTATACTAGCAGGATGTAGCAGAATATAAATTTGGTATGTTCACAATAGTAGAATACATCAGGTCTGTGAGCTTAATTACAAAACTGCAATATGTTTGTAAAATATTCTCCAGATGGTAGCTCCATGGAGGTATGGCTATATACTAACAAGCACAATATGCTGTTCTGATCGAGCTATAGACTCTAACCCTTTCATAAAGTAGACTCAATATTGGCTATATTTGGTTATTTTGTATTTTATTATGCATTACTAATTTCTTGCCACTATAGGAATAACTATACTATGGAACTGTGTACATTATACCTATACAGTTAATTTCAATGGCCTATTGTGGCAGTTAGAGTTTTAATTACATCAGAGTTTTGATTATGTTTTCCATAGAACCAGGGCCAGATTAAAAACCCATTGGGCCTGGTGCTGTTAATTATGATGGGCCTAATTACAGAAACTTATCGACAGAAAACACTAAAACATTGTCATGTATCTGGTGGAGGTGGTGCTGGAGGGAAACTCACAGGATATAGCTATCAGAAAACACATACCCTATGCTAATCTCTCACTTTCATCTCTTAAGTAAATCCATACCCCCTAATAGTAGTGTCCAGTGAAGCAGGACATCGGTAGGTGGGATAAAAAGCCACTGACGCGAATCACATAGCCGGCACAGCCCAAAGGGGTGAACATGCCCAAAAGAGGTGGCATGTCTGCCCCAAAAATTGGAAGGCCAGCCTGACTTGAATCCATTTCAGGCTGCCTGCCAATCATGCAGTCTTGCCAACCTAGGGGTTGTGTTATACAGACAGTGCCCTGAGCTTGGCATAAATGCGTCTAATGATGCGCTTGCTCCACGCTTTCTAAGGACTATACCCTAACAGTCACTTGTCCACTTCTCTCCTAACCTACTTACTAGCAGGCAGAAGCTTATGTTATACAGTCTGGGACAGAAAAGAAGGTGTAGGTAGTGAGTGTAGAAGAAAGGGGATATGCCACAGTGTTAGAGAGACTGAAGTCTGCTTTACCTTAACTAATTTCATTGTCAGCCAGTCAACACTAGGTTTGTTCCCCTACATCCCTCTTAACTTTCCATACTTAAGCAAGAGCAGGAGAAGAGCAGTATTTATTTAATTTTTAGCACTGGGTCTATTACATGGACATTGGCCTGGAACTGCCGCTCCATCAGCCCCTATGTTAATCCGGCCCTGCATAGAACACTTCTACATCTTAGCATTGTCATATCAAGTGCATCCTTAATAACTTCACCACCTGACAGGTCATCCCAATACATGGATAATGATTAAATGTCCACATCACATCCCAAAAGCTAACCTAAACATCTAATAATGCTTTGATAAGCATTTCAAATGACTTACCAGTAATATTTTTTTGAAATTTTTTTTAATAACTAGATTTTTTTTTATATATTAATATATTTTTATATATGATAATTTTTTGATATTTTACTATTTTGAAGGGGGAAAAAAGTATTTTAAATGTTTATTTAAAAATATTAAATTATTTGAAGAGCTTATCCATAATATTAAATCAAGGTCTATGTTGGAAGTGCTTAAAAGACTAGCTCTAGCAGCTCATGAGAAGAGGTCCTGTGATCTTATGCATGTACTTGAATATACTTTTGGATTCCCTGTTAGATTCCTCAGCCATGCATTACTCCCTTCATTTGAAATTACTAGAATGCTTAATAAAATGACAACACTAAAGTTGACAAAAAGAGACCTGGGCATAAAGTAATATTCATTTGCTATATAAATAGCACAGTTTCTTTTTAACTATGTATATCTACCATGTTGTCCCATGTTTCCATAGTAATAATATCTATGTACAATATGTATCTTGTTACATATTCCCACTCCAATATCCAGCTGTAGTAATTACCTAATTTACCATGTGTCTACCACAGCAATATTTTATATTTATAAAATATATATAATTATTTATATTATTAAATTTTGGGGGACTACTCTGAGCTTTACCAAAAAAACTGGGAACACCTAGTCACAATAATTTTCATGTAGCTTATATAAATTTTTTTGATTTGAAGAGAAACATTTACATTTGTATGGGTGACAGATATTTTATTCATCCCAAAAGACACCTTGGAAGTGTCTACTAGACCAAAATAAAGAATAAGAGCACGTTTCTTGCAGCAGTTTTAGTTCTGCTGCACTAACTGGCGAGAAGACACCTCATATTCCCCTAACTACCTGTACACACAGACATAATGTCACTGTGAACCCATATGTGCACCGTAAGTTCTTTCACAAGAGGCATTTGATGCAAATCTAAATAAAAATGGAAATATTCTGAGAATATCAATAATAATACTTACAAAATACATACCTTTTAGTGGTCTTTTTGACTATTCCATCCACTCAAATAAAGTAACATTGTTTCATCTTAACATGGATACTCTAAGTACCAAAACAATTTATGTTCCCTTACATAGATCATGTTAAAATGAACTCTTCCGTCCCAGGTTTCTTATAACTGCAGAAATTTTCTGTGCTAGTACACTCAACTTCCCTTCCTAGCTTTGAGGTATCAGAGAGGTAAATTATCCTTCTCTTTGCTGATACAACTATTTGCTACTACCTCTGATAGGCTCTGGTCATTGAACTACTTACCCCAGAAACACCCGTACTATACTTTCTAGCAGTACTGGATCACTTTGAATTGTCGAAGTTCTTGAGTCATGCTGCCCTTGGTTTTGTCCTCAAAAAGCGTGGCACAGGGCTGGCTGTGCATATTCATTAAAGGGTATTCATGGACACCTTACAGCTCTAATCCCTCCTGTCTCCATTCATTCCTCCCAGTATTCAGACACCTGCTGTTCGGCATTGAGTTGTAGGATATGCTTAGAACTGTCTGAGAACAGTGGATAGTTAGGGTTGCATGAGGGCCAGGAATGGCTTGGAGAGCTCAATGCAAAAGCTGCAAATCCTGAGGATTTGAAGCAAATACAGACATTTGAAAGGGGACAATGTTTATTATATTGTTTTATTTATTTAGTACATATGCCATTTAATGCATTAATAAAGTAGGATCATTTTCGGCCAGACTGTTTCATTTTAAGATAAGTTTCCTTTAATATATACTTAATTTTTTTTTACATGAGTCATGTTTTCTTCACACAGGGTCATTTTTCTGGTGGCAGTATGAACCCAGCCCGATCACTAGGCCCAGCTGTTGTCACAGGGATTTGGGAAAATCATTGGGTGAGAGAGTTTTGAAAATGTGTAAAAATCCCTAGCTAAAATAAGATAATGTACTTTTATATAGCATCAGGGTAAAAACCAGAAGGCTACAGTTGTACAATATGCCATGGATGGCACCAGAGTAGTCTGCCACGCCTTAAAAGAAGAACTCTACTAAATTTGTAAATTCATGTTTTTCTTTCATGATATTACTTTATAGTTGCACAAACCAAGCTATAGCTTTGACTAAACATCTTTCATTTCAATGTATACATAACTACAGAATAATTATTCTAGGGAAGGCTGCATTTGGAACTTAGAAGTGTGTCAATATGTGTGCATTACAAATTACACTGCTGCTGGGGCCAATTCATACAACATTTTGGGAGTCCAATATTTGGGAGTCCAGGCCAACTCCCCAGTTTGGCACCCCTCCCTGTCACAGGTGCCTCATTCCGGGGCCCTGTTTAACCTTGACCTGCAGAGAGACCCAGGAGGGAGGATTTCCAAATAAGTGGGTAATCTCATAAGTGCAGGCATTAGGTTACCACGATATGACCTGCCAAAAATTGGGTACTTTGGTGTTGTGGCAGACTTATGCAATGCATGAGCATATACTGTAACTAAATCCCCATAATTTTAGCCTCAACTAGGTGTTTAAAAACAAAAAACTATTACATTCTGTGAGCTGTCAAATTACTGTTTAGTGAATGGGTGAGTGCGCTGGATCTTGTATGATATATATATCAGTCAAATAGACCAGGCATCTCCAATAATACCCTTTGACATAGTTTATCAACATCGTGAAAGCTCCCTCCCCCCCAAAAAAAAATATTTGCGCTGTAGCACAAAATGTTCAATTACCAGCGCATAAGGTTTTCTTTTCACTCAAATTTCTACAGATAGCAAATAGATTGTAGTATTTAGGTGCAGGTGTGCTTCTGTGTGTAGAGTTGGTGTTTGTATATAATTTCAGCATTTTAATACAGGGATGTTTTGTGTGTAATGTTTGCATTTGCGTGCAGAGGTGTGTTTTGTTGTAGTGTTGGTGTTTGAGTGTTTGTATATAATTTTAGAGTTGGAGTTCAGAGGTGTCTTTGTATGTCATGTTTGTGTTTGCAGGAGTTTGTGTTGTGTTGGTGTTTTATTGCTGGAATGTTTGTACATGTACTGCCACAAACATGCTTTCACATTTACTTGCACATATATACATACACATTAACAAACAGAAACACACCAACACATACACAGTCATACACACACTAACACATACACACACACACCTTGACACATAGATATACACACTGGCACATGCAAACACCAATACGCCCACTGGCAAAAAGATAAACTCTGGCCTCTACACACAGATGCACACACTGGCACATACAGACACTGACAGATGCACACTGGCACACAGATACACACATTGATACACACACACTGGCAACTACACACAGATACACACACATTGGCACATACACACACACACTGACTGATACTCATTGACATATAGATACACACTGACAGATACACATATTTAACAGGTACATATACACATCTTGAAAATGTAAAATTCTATAGTTCTATTTAGTTTTTTTTACATTTCTCATTCCTTTTTAAGTTTGACATGTTTTTACATGACTTACCTGGCAAAGCAAGTAAATTATATTGACCCCTGTAGCAGTGTATATGTGGCACTACTAAAGGAAGCCTGGGGGCTTTTCAAGCACCATGGGGTGGTGAATTCATCCTGAACATATACTGTAAGCTTGTTTGAGCAGGGCCCTCTTCAACCCATTGTTCCTGTAAGGTTTTGTAATTGTCTCATTTATTGTTAAATCTTCCCATTTCATAACATTCTAAAGCGCTACGGAAAATGCTGGTGCTATATAAATACTAGTAATAATAATAATAACATAAAAGTGTATTTTTGGCTTATGCTTCAACATTTTTTACAAAGGTTAATGAAAGAGGAAATATCATTTACAGACCAGTGAGATCAATTTAAAAAAAGGATATCGGTTTGTATACCCATACTGCACAAGGAGGTAAACTGACTTTATAAGAAAATATAACATATATTTAGAATACATTTTTAGCCCAATGTGTCAGTGAGAAATAGCTCATAACAGACAATATTCTCTTAACATGCTTTCAATGCACTCAGTATATTGAAAAATCTGTTATATAAGTGTTTTAGACATATTTGCTTTAGTTTAAAATTTTCCAGTGTAACTCTTGAAATGTCTCACTGCTTTCAGCTGTGTGTTCTAACACTGCATTACCCTTAGGTCTACTGGATTGGACCAGTGATGGGTGCATTTTTGGCTGGTGCCTCTTATGAGTTCTTCTTTGCATCCAGTGCTTCCCGAGAGAAACTAGTTGCTTGTCTAACTTGTAAAGACATTGAAATGGTGGAAACAGCAAGTGTATCACGCTCATCCCTTTCTACTGCCACACGTACCAGGCAATCTGATCGTAAACAGGAACACACTTGATCGGATGTGTTGCAGAGAACAGAGTGCACAAGCTCTTTCTGGGCATGTACAACTCATATTCATTGTAATACGTGGGGTTTGATTTACATTTCAATTGAATATTACAGAATGTTGCATATCACAAAGCCCAGTTTTCCAACACATTTGTATATTGTATTTAAAAATTCTAGGTAATCATATCTATTTGTTATGTTGCATCTTTGACTGCATTTTGTTTCAATGTAATTTTTATTGAAATGATCATAGAAAGAAAAAATTTAGTCACAGTTTGATGACACAAAAAGCTACTAGGGACAAAGGCGCAAAGGACAAAAAGCGACCAGAGTGGGCAAGGTCCCCAAATATGTAAAACAAGCAAATATTGAAACAATGGAAAACATTCACAATAAAAAAAAGAGGTCAAAATATAGAGATGTGTTATCATCATTAGTTAGTACAATAATGAGTTATCATACACTGTGAGAGAGTAAAGGAGAAAGAGAGGGTCAGCTGTATTTTGCTCACAAACTACACAGGATGAATTCCTAAAGGCACACTCTAGACCCTAAAGCACTTTAGCTTGTTGAAATGCTTACGTGAAGAGAGTGTCAAGAAATTGGCAACTTTATAAATTAACTGTGTTAGACTCCTGTGGCTGTCAATCAGACAACTGGTTCTGTAACTGCCTGGTTTGTGTAGCTCAATGTAGCTAAACTCTTAAGGCAGCAATTGCTCACAACACCTGCCTTGTAAAGACTTCTCAGTGAAATGCATTGAGAAGTCTATGATTGAACAGCCACAGAAAGTCTGGGCAGGGTTAGAACGGGAGGGCTTGCAAAGGCATCAGACAAGAGATTGCAAGCTGTTTTTAAAAATACCCCCAAGGAAAACATACATAAATAAATGCATGCATGTTTTCATTGGGGGTTCAGTGATTTATTTTATTTGTGCAGTGGTGTGTCTCTTTACACCCTTTACTACCTAGCACATTAGGATTACCATATCATGCATTTGAAGCAAGGGAAGTAGAGCTAGCATATTAACATGTAACACAATAATTTTGTGTATAGATTGCTGTTTAAACAAATGTAAAAATGAAAAAGTAATTTGTCACTTTTACACAATTTTTATTTTTCACTTATTCTTTCAACCTTTATAAAACATTTTGTGAAATGAAAAGTTTTAGACAGTATACATTATAGGGTGTTAAAAGTGAAAAAATCAAATCCCTAGCTTCAGAATGAATCATGATTCTAATATAACTTGTTACGATTGAAGCTAAAGAAAGCACAGGGCCAGAAGGTGCTCCAGTAACCAAGATGGTGGCTCGTCACTGTGGTGTAACTACAGTAATAGTGCAACACAGAGATGCAGAATGCAAGAAAAGAAATTATGTTAACCCCTTTCCAACCCTGAGATATTCCATGCCTTCCTCCACAGAGTAGGCTTATAGGCTGTAAGGATGACATGGAACTTCCTGCAGTTTTGTTGTGATCAGGCAGACACTAGCTAGTGATAGGTATTAATTGATACTTGGGACTTTTCTCTGTCTGTTGGGGACATTTTTAGTGGCCCCAGACTGACAGATGCACTATATGCAGTGCTCAAAGTGAGGGTTATAGCCATTTTGGTCCACGTATAAGACATTGTAGTTTGAGCAGTTTTAAATCCCTACTCACCAGGAAAGTCAGGTATCAATAGATACATGGAGCTTTCCTATTTCAGTTGAGGTAATTTTTGATGTCTAAGACTGACTGACGAGTTGTATGCAGCGTTGAAAGTCAATGCTGCATACAGCCCTTTAAATCCATTCTGAACACCACGGGTGGGTAATCGGGTGATAGATCGTGCTCAGCTGCAGTGATTCTATGGTTGCAGGCTGCTAAAGGGCTACTCCCAGGGTCTGAAGAAATCCAGAAAGGGACTGTCCGGTTATTCATCAGGTCAGGCAAGAGTTCTGCAAAAGGATTAACATTTATGTCACTTTTCTTAGGGTTACCCATAGTATGGGCAGCAAACAAGTAAGGATATAACACACAGAGGGAAATGTAAATAAATGGAACGGTCAAAGGAGTAGTCAGAGAATCAGGAATAGAGGTGTACAGGGAATGAGAAGTGATGCCAATAATCGAGTATATAAGATAAGTATAAGATAATCGAGAATATATAGGAGGAAGAGGGTGAACTTAAGGAAGATCAGGGAAGGTAAGACAAAGAACCTAATTTAATGAATATTCCCCAAAATACAATTAAGTGCAATAAACATCTAAATTAGACAAAGAACAAGGAGAGCTATGGTTAAAAAATAAGAAGAGCTTACTGAAAATTAAATATAAATATACGGTTTCGTATAATTAAGCAAATAATCAAGAAAGAGCAAACAAAAAAGGCAAGTAATCAGGACAAATCTACAGAGGAAATAAACAGGTAAGTAGGATTGGTTCAGGAGTTGGCTGAAGGTCCTTTAGTTAAGGATAATTGGCAGTAGAATTCATTTTGTTCCGAATGTAAATTCGGATAAATTTCAGGCAATTCGGACATTCGGATGCTTCTAAATATATGAAGTGCCCAATTGCCAAATTTCCGAAGTGCCGATCCGAATTGCCGAATTTCAGAAGTACCGAAGTGCTTCGGATTTCTGAAAAGTAGCAAAACGAGAGGGAGGGAAAATTACGTGAATGATGACAGGAATCTTGACCAATAAGCTAATTCCTGGCACTGGGAGCCCTATAAATGTGTAAGTGGTTGTGGTGGCAATCCTGGCACTGGGAGCCCTACAGATGTGTAAGTGGTTGTGTTGACAGTCTGGGCACTGGGAGCCCTATAGATGTGTAAGTGGTTGTGGTGGTAAGGTTTAGTGATGGGGCTAGGGAGCTAGATGTTCCGAATTCCAAAGTTCCAAATTGAAGAAGTCCCGAATTGCTCAATACTGGAAATTGAGTCAGGGGATTATAAACCAGGAACACCGGAACCATGAGTTGGTGCTTAGAAGAATCCAATAACTGAGAAATGCATCTAAGAATGCCACAGGTTTATGAAATCGGATCTGAATGAAAATGACACTGCCATAATGATCCATCCACTCTCATATGCCTGGGTGTTTGATAAAAATATATTAGTTTCATACGTGTTTATTTAGAATATTTGCACATGTGCTGAAACAGTCATACATCTATTAATATTTCTTAACCACTGAGATGGAATGGATTTGTGCATATTGTAAGTGACAGACAGTGCAGGGGATTAAAAGAAAGAAACTGCCAAACTGTGATGGGCAATACTTGGTAGGAATGTGAGACAAATTAAAGACTTTTTCAGATGGGTGAACAGAGTTAACATCAATAAAATACTAACATCAGGTTGTGGAGCATGTCAATAACGTCTATCTATAATAAGTATAATGCACACAACTAATGACAATATTATGCCAAGGTCACATTATGAAGTATTGACCCCCACCCCCAAAAAAGCCTTGTTATAGGGGGCGGGGCCAAGCAGCCAAGATGGCCGGACGTGTATACCCACAGCTCCGACATCGTGGCCCGTAAACATCGCCTATACGACACTTTCCCTGCCGTGAGTAACCCTCCGAGACCCGGGGGCCGGTCTGCTTCCAAGGGGGCACACATTGATACCTGAATCCTGTAACTAACCCCGACAGAACCGCAGATAGGCCCGGCGGCCTAGCCTGAAGCGAGACGCACGCGGGTATCGTGGGAGAGACGGCCGCTCTCCCTCGGCCACAGTGCGCAACTACTCTCGGCATGGGACCCCGTTCCCCCCCCATAGACCGGTGGGGGTCATCCCGGTCCTCTACGCCCCGCAGCAGACAACAAAGCGGGCCCCAGCTGGCTTACCGCGACAAAGTTATGGAGAAGAAGAGCCTCTCAAAATGGCGGTACGCACCCCAACGAAACCCATAGACACAAGCACAGCATGGAGGCCAGATGCGGGCAGGTACTCACTCACAGACTGCTGACAAACTGGAGTCAAAAGACTGAGTCACAGACACCAGCACAGAACGACTTACCCCCAGCGAATGGGCACTTGACTTTCAAACCAGGTTTGAGGCCATATGCAGGCGGGTCTGGGCCAGCCTGGAGGTCAAACAACAGCCCCTAAAGTCACCGGCGGGCGGTACCACAGCGAACTCACCCACAACAAGACTATCACACAGGGCTCATAGCCCTAAAGAGCAACGGACCAGGGCACAGCTGAGGATGCCCCAAACTGGGCCCAGAGCCACGTGGGGTGTAAACCTAACACGCCACCCACACCGGCGAAAGAAAACAGGGCGCAAGCTGCAACACCAGAGTGGGACCCCAGGCAGCCACATACCACGCCATACACCTCGGACACATAAGCAGAGTGCTGCAGAGGGCAAACGGCGCAACCCGCCATCACCTCATGGTGCCCACAGCAACAACCCCCCCCAAGAAACTCCAGGACCCCACAGGACAGCGGGCGCAAGGTAGCAGACATCCGGCTTCAAGGCAACCCCACAGCGGGGGAAGCACCCCACACCCACAGCACTACGCTGCATCTAGCATTGGACTTTGCACATGAGTAACCAATGAACACCGCAGGGGCATCGGCTGAAAGACCGGAGCAGCAACAAGAGGGGCGAGCTTGAGGCACCAACCCTACTCAAGAGTCGCGGCACCGTAGAGGGCACTGGACAAGTCAACATCCCCTTGCAACCTATTTGCGGACAATCACACTAAATGGACACTACACTGATTTCTGCATAGCTGGGTCAGCAAGTACACCAGGCCAGTCACTAGGCAACCCCTTACCTTGCCATACCTTGCGCAAGCCTTAACGTCCCGAACTTCCCTCCATTCTCTGGGCAGGACTAGTTTGCTTCACGTGGGCATGTACATGTCTCTATATTGGCGCCTGATGTTTCAGCATATATTAGTTACTTAGCGCTTAAGCGACTGCCAGCATACGATGGGTGTTTAGCCTACTAAATGTCAGGAAACTGTAAATCTGTATTTAAAAACGGTCAATCTCCACCTTGAGCAGTACGGTACCTAGCTAAAACGTATTGATCGGGGCAAAACATCTAACTTACTGTCTAACCACTGACCAACTCCATTTAGCCTAACGTAATCTTGATGCATAGGCTCTAGTTTATCCTTATTTACCTACTCTAGGTTTGCAAGCCTAGTATAGTTAACGTTGTCACTATCTCAATATATTCTGCATTGTTCTCACAATTTATGTCGTAAGCCAACACTATCTAGGTTTCAAAAACATAGCCAATGCATAGACTTAGCATAAAGTAACCTACATAAGCGACTGTTACTACTTGTTATTACTTGTTATTATTTAAAAAATGTGCCTGTTTATTCTGTGCCCCGCATGTTGAGCGTGGGAAAAGTTGGAGCTGCTTTTGGGGCACCTCCTACCTACTTGTGATAAATATATGCACAACAAAAATAAAGAATATAAAAAAAAAAAAAAGCCTTGTTATAAATAGGATGCTGTTTCACACTCAAAATGACTTCCAATATCACGTGTACTCCCAAAGATATATGTTGTTTTATTTAAAAACAATAGTTAAATTAAAATGAATGACAAAAGGCAGACAAATTCCAAAAAAGGTTAGGGGTAGGGAGCCATACAGATATTCCAAATTCTAAAGTCCCAAAGTGCCTAATCAACGAATTTCAGTGCCGAACCTAACCAAATTGCCGAAGTGCCAAATTATTTTTACTTACCTGAATTTCCGAACCAATTGTTTTGCCCATGCACATCCCTAATTTGCAGGTTAGTCCAGATAATAGGAAATGTCTCTGAATAACAGATAAGGCCTTACTGTAAGAAAGTATTCCTTTCCAAGGTATCTATGAAATCAGATCCAAGGCAGATCAAAAGGTATCTATGAAACTGTAGTAGTTTTGGTAGGTTCCTTGAAGTAAGTAGATAGGAGCAGTGGCGTACATATAGGACCGGGCCAGTCACTCTAGGGGGCCGGCAGCCCTGCTTTGAGCAGGGAGTGGCTCTTTATAGCAAGGGTAATCATTCACATGCAAGTGAGTAGTCTCAGAAACATTTTCAATGAATTAGTAGCTTTGGCAGCCACTACAGGCAAGAGAGTATGATTCAAACTAAACTAGAAAATCAGGAACATGACAGGGACTCTGCATGTCTCCAAGTCATTGGTGGATGGGTGATGGGCTTTGCTAACTGCCTAGAACCAATCACAATGTAATCAGCTAGAAAGCATGCTTTATTCAGTAATACAGGAAAATATTTCTGTACTACTGTAGAAAGCTGTAGACATGAACTCATTTGGAAAAAACAGAACCAAATTTATCATTGGAAAATGCAATAGACTTTACTATTTAAATACTTTACCGAAAATAAAAATAGCTGTCATGCATGTTATGATATCCAAACATGGCATGAAATTCTAGGTAATTGTAATATACAGGTGATACTCGAAAAATCTGAATATCGTGCAAAAGTTCATTTATTTCAGTAATGCAATGTAAAACTAATATATGAGATAGACACATTACATGCAAAGCAAGATAGTTCAAGCCGTGATTTGTCATAAGTGCGATGATTATGGCTTACAGCTCATGAAAACCCCAAATCCACAATCTCAGTAAATTAGAATATTGTGAAAAGGTGCAATATTCTAGGCTCACAGTGTCCCACTTTAATCCGCTAAGCCATAACACCCGCAAAGGGTTTCTGAGCCTTTAAATGGTCTCTCAGTCTGGTTTAGTAGGAATCACAATCATGGGGAAGACTGCTGACCTGACAGTTGTGCAGAAAAACATTAAGGTCACCCTTTATAAGGAGGGAAAGCCTCAAAAGGTAATTGCGAAGGAAGTTGGATGTTCCCAAAGTGCTGCATCAAAGCACATTAATCAGCACAATAATCAGCATGGTTTTATGAAACATAGGTGATGTCAAACTAACCTAATTGCATTCTACGAAGAAGTAAGTAGAAGTATAGATCAGGGTGTTGCAGTGGATGTGGTCTACTTGGATTTTGCCAAGGCATTTGATATGGTTCCTCACAATAGGTTAGTCTTCAAACTAAAAGAAATTGGTCTAGAATCCCTAGATGAATATTCTTGTTCTTGGGTAGAACTTTGGCTTAAGGATAGAGTAAAACGAGTTGTCATTAATGGTAAATTTTCAAGCTGGACAAAAGTGATAAGTGGTGTCCCTGAGGGTTCTGTTTTGGGACTGCTTCTATTTAACATATTTATAAATGATCTTGAAATGGACATTGAAAGCCATGTATCAGTATTTGCAGATGACTCAAAACTTTGTAAAGTAATAAAATGTGAGCAGGATATTGCCTTGCTACAGAGGGATTTGGATAGATTGGGGGACTGGGCACTAAAATGGCAGATTAAATTTAACGTAGAGAAATGCAAAGTTATGCACTTCTGGGTTAAGAATGCACAAGCAATTTACACCCTAAATGGTAGTGAACTAGGGATAACCACACACAAGAAGGATTTGGGAATTGTTATAGACAACAAATTAGGCAGCAATATACAATGTCAATCTGCCATTGCTAAGGCCAGTAAGGTTTTGTCATGTATAAATAGGGGCATAAATTCTCGAGATGAAAATATAATTTTGCCTCTTTATAAATCGCTGGTAAGACCACACCTTGAATATGCTGTGCAATTTTGGGCACCTGTTCTAAAGAAAGATATCATGGCACTAGAAAAAGTGCAGAGACGAGCTACAAAATTGGTAAAAGGAATGGAGCATTTTAGTTATGAAAAAAGGTTAAAAAATTTAAATCTCTTTAGTTTGGAAAAACGGCACATGAGAGTGGATATGATAACATTATACAAATATATTCGGGGCCAGTACAAACCATTATCTGGAAATCTATTCATAAACAGGGCTATACATAGGACCCAAGGTCACACATTTAGGCTGGAAGAAAGGAGATTTCATCTAAGGCAAAGAAAATTTTTTTTTTCAGTAAGAGCAATAAGGATATGGAATTCTTTGCCTGAAGAGTTTTGTCAGAGTCTATACAGATGTTTAAACTGCAATTGGATAAATACTTGCAAAAACATAACATACAGGGATATCATTTCTAATTAGTGGGGTAATAGCTGCTTGATCCAAGGAGACATCTGACTGCTATTTTGGGGTCAAGAAGGAATTTTTTCCTAGTTTGTTGCAAAATTGGAAGTGCTTCAGACTGGGTTTTTTGCCTTCTTTTGAATCAACAGCAAAAACATATGTGAGGAAGGCTGAACTTGATGGACACAAGTCTCTTTTCAACTATGTAACTATGTAATTAATAGAAAGTTATGTGGGAAGGGAAAAGTGTGGACGAAAAAGGTGCACAAGCAGCAGGGATGACCGCAGCCTGGAGAGGATTGTCAGGAAAAGGCCATTCAAATGTGTTGGGGACTTTCACAAGGAGTGGATTGAGGCTGGAGTCAGCGCATCAAGAGCCACCACACACATACAGATCCTGGACATGGGCTTCAGATGTCGTATTCCTCTTGTCAAGCCGCTCCTGAACAACAAACAACGTCAGAAGCGTCTTACCTGTTGCTCAGTGGTGCAAAGTCCTCTTTTCTAATGAGAGCAACTTTTGCATCTCATTTGGAAACCAAGGACCCATAGTCTGGAGGAAGAATGGATTGGCACACACTGCAAGATGCTTGAGGGCCAGTGTGAAGTTTCCACAGTCTGTGTTGATTTAGGGAGCCATGTCATCTGTTGGTGTTGGCCCACTGTGCTTCATTAAGTCCAGAGTCAACGCAGCCGTCTACCAGGAGATTTTGGAGCACTTCATGCTTCCTTCCGCAGACGAGCTTTATAGGGATGCTGACTTAATTTTCCAGCAGGACCTGACACCTGCCCACACTGCCAAAAGCACCAAAGCCTGGTTTAATTACCGTGGGATTACTGTGCTTGATTGGCCAGCAAACTCGCCTGACCTGGACCCCATAGAGAATTTATGGGGCATTGCCAAGAGAAAGATGAGAGACATTAGACCAAACAATGCAGAATTGCTGAAGGCCATTGAAGCATCCTGGTCTTTCATAACACCTCAGCAGTGCCACAGGCTGATAGCTTCCATGCCACACCACATTGAGGCAGTAATTGCTGCAACAAAGTATTGAGTCCGTATGCATGCTTATACTTTTAAGAGGTCTGATATTGTTCTATGTACACTCCTTGTTTTATTGATTGCATGTAATATTCTAATTTAGATCGTGGATTTGGGGTTTTCATGAGCTGTAAACCATAATCATCGCACTAATGACAAATCACGGCTTGAACTATCTTGCTTTGAATGTAATGCGTCTAACTCATATATTAGTTACCCCTTTTATGTTGCATTACTGAAATAAATTCACTTTTGCACAATATTCTAATTTTTAGAGTATCACCTGTATTTGATATTGCAGTTATAAAGGGTTGTAAAAGGAAAAGGAATGAAGATTAAGAGTAAAATTAATGT